CTATTGTAACTATCGTGTATCCTTCTTTCGTTAATGTCTTCATCGATTACTTACAGTTCGACCATTGTACACGCACCCATACACATACATGTACCCAAACATACATATATATGCAAGACAAGCTTATAATTCAAACCATGTTCATGGCACGACTACCAGCTATTTCATTACTCATTCCTTGAGTAAGGAATTTAGAACGTTGAATAGAATTTCATTCGTCCTATCAACATATCTTATTGTCACATACCTCAAATAAATCTTATTTTATCAAATACTAGTATAGTAGTTCATTGCGAACACCATAGTCTAAACATTTAAATGAGTTGATTTGGGTCAGCAATAATTACTCTTATTTTATATATTTAATTTCTAATTAGTTAGGAAACATTATACTATTACTTTAAGTAAAAAGTTTAAGTATATATATATAAAGAATCATCTCATGAGTATTTACATATAAAGTGTAAGTATATATAATGAATTATCTCATGAGGATTTACATATAAAGTATAAGTATACATTAGTTAAAGTAAAATCAAACCCCAACATGGTTATCTTATTGCCATATACCTCAAATAAATCTTATTTTATCAAATACTAGTAATTCATTTGAAACACCATAGTCTAAACATTTAAACAAGTTGATTTGTGTCAAAAATAATTACTCTATTCTTTTTTTAATTTAATTTCTAATTTGTTAGGAAACATTACTGTTACTGTAAGCACAAAATATAAGTACATCATCAAGAATCATCTCATAAGTATTTACATACAAAATATAAATATATATTCGTTAAAGTAAAATCAAACGAAGATGGTTAATTTATTTTCATTTCATTTGCTTTACTTCGTTGTTATGATCCATGTTATTATTCTTTCCTACTTTCTTTCATTATTATCAAATATAATTCTTAATCATTATATTGATTTCACGTTCCCTTTTTGGTTTAATTCAATGTTGTAATAATATCTTTGATTGTATTTGAATGCACCTACTTATTAGACCTTCCAAAGTTACTAATTGTCTGTGACGGAGTTTACACGCTCCATTATTTAAATTTAACTAGTATTTATCACCACATTTCAACCACATGTTACCTTTACTATCTCCTATTTGGCTATCATTAACACCATTTCTTGTAACATATTCCAATGTTATATAATCTAATGAATATTTATATCTAATTTATATTATCTTATACATTTAACTTCTATCTAGAATTTCAATCATTTTAATCTCACGTTTGTTCATATTTATAAGTTTAATGATAATCCAATTTGAAATTTCTAAAGGATTATGGTGATCCAATATTAAACTCAATACCTATGTGATAATCTGTTTTAACGACAATGTTAAACCTATCGATAATTTGATAATAAACTGATCAAATGTTTTATCTGTTCTTACATTTTCCTTTTTTTCTTTTTTTGGGGGGGTAATATTTTAATTAACTTTTCTATATATGAATTACAATTGTATTCACAAGAGACTTTATGATTTAACGATGATGTACTGTTATTTCTTTTACCATTCATTATAATACACTAATCTGATATAATATATGTTAGGTATATGTACTTCAAGTTGAATTTAATTAAGTATATGTATATACGTGTATGTATCACGTTGGTTTGGGTTGCCTCAAACTTTTCGCGATACCTTGGCTCTGTTTATAAAACTTTGATTTTTCCCTCTACCTTGGCCTTAAAAATGTATGAGAATATATTTATTGTTTGAAAACTATCTTTATGGCTAATATTCTTTTTTTTTCTTTTTCACACTTGTTGAGTATTTATGTAGGAAACATTTAAAATACTACAATTGTGATAAAGTAAATTTAAGTATACGTACAAGGGATTACAAAATATATAAGCATAACTTTAAAGGTTGGTTTATGATATGACCTTGTTTCTAGAAATACTTGTTCAATTTTCTACTTTTCTTTTTAACAAAAAAAAAAAAATGTTCTTTTTTTAATAATAAAATTAAATATCAATTTAAAAGTTAAATATAATCTTAAAATATGTTAGCGTTTAAATGAATTTTGAAATATTTAATTGCAAAATGATAAATTAATTATTTTAAGATTGACAATGGGAATACTAATACTTTTGTGATTAAACAGTGAATGTATACAGATACATAAAAAAAAAGAATACAAAACGACATAAAAGAATGATGTTTTATTGAACCCCATAATGTACTAGATACGTAAGCGACGTAAAAGTACGTTCAAACTGTAAGAAGAAGAAGAAGATAAGAAAAAGAGATCAAGAGATTGACAAATCGTAAAAACGGAATATCTTCGAAAGAGGTATGACTTCTCGATTAACTTTTATTTTCACGATGTTTCGAACGACAACACAAATTTATTATTTTATCCCCTGTTATAAAGAAAAAGAGGTATAGACCTATATCATCACACGGGTCAACAAGATTTATCGTTTTGTTGGATTTTGATCTTTTATTTTATTCTTATTTATTACGATTAATAAATATTATTTCAACTTTTTTTTTTGATGGATAAAAATATTATTTTAGTTATAATAATGAAGAAAAAAATGTTTGTGTGTTTATTTTATTTATGGAGTGTAAATAAAAAAAAGAAACTTAAAAATTGATATTTATATTATAAAAATATATTTAAAAATAATATAAATGATTATAAATAAAATATACCACAGTAATGAATAAATAAATCAAATAAAATAGACATTTGAAAATGTTCTGTTAATATAAAAATTTCAAAATAAAATTGAAACAAATGTTATGATAAATAAAAAAAAAAAAACAAGAAAAAGAAATAAAATCAAATTAAATTAAATATTTGAAAATGTTCTGTTAATATAAAAATTTCAAAATAAAATTGAAACAAATGTTATGATAAATAAAAAATTAAATAAAATAAGATAAAATAAAATAACCATTGTAAAGAAGTATTCACTTCAAAAATTAATTTAAAATTAAATAAAATAATACTTGATTATAAATGTTTGAAGAGAATTGATAATAACGAATTTGTAGATTAATTTCTGAAATTATAAATTTAATTGAATGATTCTTATTAAAATAATTATTCACTGAGAGAAAATCCTTTCTTTTATTTAACTGAACGATATAAAGAAAACCGATCTTTTTTTCTGTTTAGTATCTTTCTGTCTCGTGACGTTGCGTTGGTAACTACCAAGAGGCGTCGTCGACTATTCCCGTTTCCTGTTTCTCTTTGATACGGTCTAGCTATTGTTTCGCAGAACAAAAAAAAAAGAAAAAGGAAAAGAAAAAAAAATAGAAGAAAAAAAAAGAGAATGCCACGATTAATACATTATGCGAGTTAGCTATACACTCATCTAACTGCTTTTGTGCGTATATGTACATATTATACAAGTGAATATATTATATATATATATAATCTTTCTACAATAAGAAAATTATCCTAAACAAACGTGAACGTATCCTCCTACAGTTCATCCGTAGGTTCATCACCGTTCATCCTAATTAACAAATTCCTATAAAATTATTTATCGATCTAACAAACAATAAAATGTCACTTGAAATTCATCATTTTTCTTTTTTTTTTCTTTTTCATTTGCATACAATTAATTTTCTTTCCAATCAATCGAACAACTTGCAAGCGTTTTTTATTTATACGATTAAAAACGAAAAAAAAGAAAGATAAAAGAAAAAGAAGAGAAAAAAAAGATAGGAAATAGTCATCTTTCCACTTGGGTTGTCCAACATAGAAGTTGACAAGCTCACGAAGCGTAGGATGGTTGCTGCGATATTTCCACGGAACAAATATATCATAGTTTTATCGATATCCTTTGTAAAAAAAAAAAAAGAAAGAAGAAAATGAGAAAGAAAACGAAAAAAAAAGAAAGAAGAACTAAATCAAAAACGGCAAATCCTTCACACAGGATTAAACAGAACGTGTCGTTAAAAAAGTCTTTGCTATATGTATGTGTTAGTATATACACTTAAGTATAAGCGTATTGTATTAACGCTTATTTTTCAACGTATGCCTTTATAATACTCTTGAGCCACGAATAGCCGGTTGAGAGGTATTTTAGGATTGAAGAAAATCAAGATCGGATTATTTCAATCCATCGTCTTTCAAAGTGTTTTTATTTTATTTAATCGAATACATACTTATCATTTTTCTTTTCCCACTTTCTAATCATTCTATAAATCAAATCGTACTTATGAACAACAAAGACTTTGAGAGTGAAGTCCACTTTCTTGAATTCTTCAATATACGTATACACATGTATGTGTGTATATATTTGTGAAAAGATCGAATATCGTACAGTTGTACAATATAAAAACCAAAGTAACTTTATTATTCATAAAACTTCAGTACCGTCAATTCAGAAAATTCAACTAAATTCTACCATAACGAAACGACACAATTCGTCTATTGAAGTTAATGCATCGGAGGAAGAGAGGAGTACACAAAGAAGACGATGGAAGATAACAAGTACAATTATGAATTTCCTCGTTAATTAAAAATGACGCGTGAGTGTATGTGCTTCAAGTTAAACAAGTAGTACATCGTATAGCCCAAAGGGTTGATACAATCCCTCAAACATGAATTCATCAACATAGGAATAGTCTAGCTAATGTTATTGAATAGGTTATAACATCAGTAAGTATATTTAGATATATAGATAAGTATAACACATAAATAGATATAGTATCAGATCTATTCATTACATACCATGTGTATATATATATATATATATATATATATATATATATATATATATATATATATGTGTGTGTATGTATATATGTATATATAGTCGTTACACTTTTCAGTAGGGTCGAGTATACCCTGTTCCGATTTCAAAGAAATAAATAAGAAGAAAATTGGTCGAAGTTAGGGCTAGGGAAATATTACTATTTTCCCCTACTTAATCCCCTAGATTGAAGATCGTTCTTAGATAATAAAAAGGAAAGGAAAGAAAAAGGAAAAGGAAAAGAAAAAAATAACGAAACTTACCGGTCTGCCCTTTACCCAAGGTCTTTTCAAGGCGATAAGGGCCGACATACTGATGAGTCTCCTGGGTGTTGGACCCGACGGGGCTTTCCTTGCCCTGCATCGCAGCCGAGCCACTTTCTTCTTGGTCCGCCAGGTTGAATAGTTTATCCCGCTCGTTCGCGGGTTCTACCCTTTTAGAACCTTGATTTCTTTTATCCTTGTATTGCACTGGCTTTTGAAGCCTATATCTCTTTGCTTTTTTTTTTTATTTCTAACCTTTTGTCTTTCACACTATACAATATCACTTCTTTCTCTTAACTTTCCTCGATTGCACAAATCGAACCATCGCGTCTTTACCGCGACTTATCCAAACATCAAAAAATCTTCTCTATTTCGATAAATCATCTTTTTTTTTTATTGCACTCACAACAAACAAACTAGGTAGACGCGTTTTCTTTTAACTTGAGAACACATCGGTATATATCACTTTTCCTTGGATTTACGATCGATACTTTTTTTTTTTAGAAATTCTTATCACACATCGTGATTTAACATGACAATTAAAAATTTGAATGATTGAAAATTAAAGAAGAGTAAAAATAAGAAGATGAAGATGAAAAAGGAGGATAAAGGATACGAAGAGAAATTTTATGTGTTTGAGAATAACAACCAACGATAATCATAATAATGATGATGATAATAATAATAATAATAATAAAAACAAATAAATAAAAAGAAAAAGTACACTGTTGATCAGATCGAGTCACGACGATGGTCTACTTCTTCTCTTCCTCGTCGTCGTTTACGTCGTCGCGACTCCTCGTAACTGCACCTATCAGGTAACAACATCTCGTCTTCTTCTCACGTGAACGACGTTGACGATGACGATGACAACAACAACAACAACGACGATGACGACGACGACGACGACGATGACGATGACGACAACGACGACGACAATGACGACGATGACGATGACGAAAACAACGATTCTTTTACACGACGTACATTAATTAACCCAACGACGTCCCCGATGAAATAATCTTCCCTGGACGTAGTAGTAACGTTCGACGCCATTGCTAACAACACCAGGGAGTATTATAATAACCGATGAATTTCTAGTAGCACAAATCGTACTGGGTATAATATCGAAAGATTTCAAACGATCGAATCTTTGAATTAGTATTATAGCGATTACTCGAACAAAAAAAATGTCGAGTAATATCGCGTGTAGACTTTAGACAACGGGAACGTTCATTTGTAATAATAAATCTTTCATTCTACTTATCATTTTTCTTGTTTCACAAACTGGACGGATAAAAGAAGAAAATAAAATAGACAGAATAAGAGATAGAGTGAGATAGAGAGAGATAGGACAAAGAAGAAAATTATTCAAAATGAAAGGAACAAATAAAGATGAGGAAAACGCGCACACAGTACACACTCGCGAATATGATATAACCTTCGTTTACTTCGACCGTTCCTCCTCCACCTTCTCTTCACCCTCTTTTTCCACCCACCAGCACCCTGTGCGCACTCATACACCACCACCAGTAGTAGCAGCAGTAGCAGTAAGCAGCAAGCAGCACAAGCACAAACCAGCAGCAAGCAAACACGAGAACACCTGCAGCACGAGACGGCACCACTCTACGATGACGACGACGACGACGACGACGACGACGGCACTAGCCACTGCCACCACCGATCACGATATATCACTAAATTCTCTAGTAGTAACCAGTAATAATAGTAGTAGTAGTAATAGTAACAGTAGCAATAGAAGGACGGTCCTTTTCCTCTTTGTAGTAGAACATAGGCCTTAGTCTATTTCTCCCTGACATGTTAATCCAATCTTCAGTAAAATCCAAAAGAATCTAAGTGATATTTTCTAAAACTTCTGATTACACATATGTATATATATATGCATATATATATAATCTTTTTTTTTGCATTTCACAATATAATATCCAATTCTTCTTCTTCTTCTTCTTCTTCTTCTTCTTCTTCTTAATCTGTTTATCTTTACTTATTGTTAGTCCTCTTCACGTGTAGTAATTCTACCGCCTCTTCTTTTTCTTCTTCTTCTTATTATTATTATTAGTAATATAATTTGTCTTACTACTATTTCTTCTTATTATTATTCTTATTATGCTTCTTCTTACTGTTAATATCTTCTTTCTTTTTTTGTCTTCTTTTTTTTGTTCACTCGTTTCTCGTCAGGGATCCAGCCCTGTCGTGTACGCGGATGATAGAGCCGACGACGAAGCACGGCGCTCCCAGTTCGATTACGTGTTTGCTATAGAAGGGCTGCATGCGCGCGCACCCCCACGCCCCCTCCCCCCACGAAATTTACTCTCTCTCTTTTTCTTTCTATCTTTTTCTTTCTTTACTGTTCTCCCTCTATCTGTTTTTCCTTCTTTCTCGGCCACCCTTATACCATCACTCCCTGTCTTTCTATCTTACACAAGTATTTCACCCTCTGGTGCGCGCCACGCGAGCGCAGCAGCCTTCGGAAGAGGGAGTTCAGACGACTCCTCGACCCGGCTTTGGAAAACGTGCTGGAAAGACTCTCTCTTCTCGGCCGGTGTTGGAGGCCTCTCTTTCTGTCGGGGGTGGTTTCGTACCACCAGCGTCGGTACGAGCCTAACCTTTTTTGGTTCGTGTCTGTGGTGTCCACGGAGAACACACCGCAAAGAGAGGGGAGAGGCAAAATCTTGGTGAGAAGTAACGCGTTTATTCTATTTTGATTACATTTTAAAATCGATGATACAATCGATCAACATATCTTTTTTTTAAACAATTTATATATTATTTTTTACCTATATCATTTATAGAAACAGAATTAATATAAATTTTTTTTACCTAATTAATATTGTTTATAAAAACAGAATTAAAATAAATTTTTGTTTAATAATTCATTACATTATTTACAATTAACATTATATTTGTAATAATTCAATTTTTACCTAATTAATATCATCTGTAGAAACAGAATTAAAATAAATTTTATATTAATAATATATTATATTATTTATAATTATCATTATATTTTTAATAATTCATTTTTTTGTTACCTAATTTAATAACATTTCTACAAACAGAATTAAAATATTTAAATAGATGTACGTATGTAACATATGTGTGTATGTGCGTGTGTATTTATGACAAAATTTCCAGGATAGTAAAGTCAATTAGTTTTGTACTATTGTTATTGGCCGTTCATCAAATTAATGTTAATTGTAAAACGAATATAACATCGTCTATTTTAATAGATGCGTTAATAGGTACACGTTATACGCATCTCGATGTTTAATGATAGGTGAAATTTTAGGTGACACAGATAATCAATTAATCTCGTACTATTGCTTTTAATTATTTATGTTAGTTTATAAATAAAAATAATATTCAATATTTGATAAATTAGTTAAAAAAATATGTTTTATTATTGTAATATTGGAATTTTGTTAATACTAGAAATCGTTAAATAAAATTCATTAGTTTCATGTATTAATTATTAATCGTGTATTAATATTAAAATAAATAAATAGTTTATACATGAAATTATTTATTTATTATTATAATATGTGTATATATGTATATGTATATTTATTTAATTTTTTTAATTTTATATACAAAATATATAATACATCTATGATACATGATACATTCATACATGTATCGCAAAATGATGCAATACGAGAACAGATGAAATTAATTGGACAGAGATAAACATCAATATGATCGATAAATTTCAATGAATGAAATATGAACGAAAGTCATTTCCATAGATAATACTATTTATGTCAAATCTAACGTTTCTATTTCGTTCTACAGAAGTTGGTTCAGTAACACACGATTCGTGAGATTTTTGTCAACCATTCTTGCTCCTGCAATACATTATTTTGATCACGTTTACATATATCCAAATATATAAATACATACGACCAATTTCATATAAAGAATCGTACAGGGTTTTTCAAAAATTGCTTTAATAAAAATCAAAATATTAATATTATATTTTTATTATCAGTTCATTCAAAATTATGAGATTCATATGGAACGACATATTTTTTTTTTAATCAATACTGTAACTGTAAACATGTAATATATGTAATGGTTTATTAAAATTTATATCTTTGGATGAATAAGAAATAAAAATAGAAATTCTATTAAATAAAAATATTCGAATTTAGTCTATTGTTTTTATTTTCTTTGGTAAATCAACTTTTGAGGTATCCTGTGTTTGAGTGCATAGAGTAATGCATCGCTCATATGCATTGCGTAAAATTATGAAACGAGTATTATCATTTAATGTTTCTTTGCTGAAGAATGAAATTATGTAAGATGAATAAAAATTTATCGAACATAAAAACAAATCATTGCAATTAAATAAAGAAAAATTAACTTAGGAATGATCAAATATATTTTTTTAGAAAATTCAAATTTTCTTTCCTTTTGATAGATAAAAAGACTAAAATTGCATAAGATTTTTGTATTAAATTCGTTTCGGTTAATTAATTATTGTAAAAAAGAAAAAACTTTTCTAATCGATAACAAATTTGTCTTTACGGTCGATAAATTAGATTTGGCTGGAAAAATGTCCATCTTGAAAAATTATTCATTCTCATCGAGGGAGTATTAAAAATAAAACAAAAAAAAAAGAAAAAAGGTATAAAGGAAAACTTTCAAAGGATGGTACCCGAAGGTAAGTGGAAGAACAATTAGGACTCGATTCTTCTTTTCTTTTTTATCTGTTCTTTTTGTCCAGTACCTCCGAGTTCTTCATTTGGATCAGATTATCTGAAGCTTTAAGATTAGTTTGAAGAGAACAGAACAAATAGACAATTGGACGGAAGAAAATTAGCGTTGAAAGAACAAAGTTTATTTTATTGGTGTTGGATGATGAAAAAATACATTAATTAATTATCATTAAAAAAAAATCTTGCAATTAAACCTTTGGGTACTACAAAGTAATTTGAAAATTACTCTTTGAAGTATTATAATAATTAATTATAATAATATTAAAATTACGCATTACTTGGAAATAAACCAGAATGAACTAATTAAATTTCATTTCAGTTTCAATGACGTATCGGAACGTCATGTGTGTCTTTGCCCAAACAAATGAATGACGTACTGATACGTCAAATGGTTAGCCTAAGGGTTTAAGTACGCAAATTTTGAAATTATATGCAAAGTATAATGCATAAATTAAAATAATAAAGAATATTCTGCATAAGAAAAAAGAATATTTAAAAAAAAAGAAACAATATTCTGCATAGTATAAATGCAGCATACTACAAAGAATTTCCTTTCAAATGATTTTATAAATAGACGGCCTTGTACTATCCACCCACGATACGGAATACTAAAGGGAACTAAAATAATTCTGTTCTCGTTATAAATTCTGCACAAATAAAACTGATTATCTTGTACTTTTCGAGAAGAACACATCGATTGAAACGATGTAGAAATAAATCAAATTAACATAAATCACAGATTAAAAAAATATTAAACGATATTGTACGCTAATAATAAATAACTAATAGGAAACTATTAAATAGATATCATGAGGAGTTGGATGAGTATGATATAATATTAACTGATGGGATATGTATTAGGGATTAGACGTTTCAGTTAGACGGACTCAGTCCTATTAGGGATTGAAGTTAATCACTCATCGTATGAATTATGACTATGTTGGTAATTTGATATTTATGATGATAATAGGTCATATCTAATGAATTAACCTTTTAGGCACTAGATGCCATTATAGTGGCTTTCGCGGATGTCATCTTCCAGTACGACGCGTCACTATAATGGCTTTGGTAATTTGATATTTATGATAATAATAGATCATATCTAATGAATTAACCTTTTAGGCACTACGCGCCACTATAGTGGCTTTCACGGATGCCATCTTCCAGTACGACGCGCCAGTATAGCGTCTTTCGTGAATGTCATCTTCCAGTACGACGTGCCGCCACTATAGTGGCTTTCGCAGATAACATCTTTTAAAATATATTATACCTAATTTTAGTATTAATTATTAAAGTAAATTGTCTAAGTTAAAGTATATGTGTTCGTAATTTTATCGTTCACACGTAACCCTGACGCAACCCTGCCGTACAGAGAAAAAGAAGCCCCGTGCAACATTCAGCAGTGCCTAAGTGGTTAATAATAAAATTCGAATTTTCTTTCTCACTCTAATGTGTACAATAATTGAACAAATATTTCTAAATGTTTAAAAATGATGAGTGAACGTAAGACAAAGAAAAAGAAAAAAAGAAAAACGATGAAAACGATGAAAACAAGTGACGAAGAAGAT